ATTTTAGCAGATTTTGTTTGGATTTTCGACTTATAGTTTTAAATTTTCTAAATTAGTTTCACACATCCGGCAACTCTTTTGCAAATATTTTAAAGTCCCTCAAAAATGCTTATAATCGTTTTGTCAACATCGGCAGTTGTATTATTAATTATTTTTTATACCAAACTTTATACCAAAAATTTTAACTCTAATAATATCCCCCAAAACTTTAGAGATATTTTGGATTTGCACTTTTAATTTTTCTAACATTTATAATTTTAAATTTTCTTACTTTTCTACACAGCCGGCAACATTTTCAAAAAWATTTTAAATCTTTAAGTGTCTCAGAAATTTTTATAATCGTGTTGTAAACATTCAGCTGTATTAGTAATTTTATTAAGCTACATTTTTTAACAGGTGGTAACCTTATTTCAAAAATAAAAAATATAATAAAATCGCTCAAACCCATACCATTTTTTTGGACTTCTAATCACATTTATTTTGGACTCACAATTTTAAATTTTCTAACTTTTTTACACAGGTGGCAACTCTTCTGAGTTTCTTATACTGTTTGAATATTGCCAACATTCTGTTGATTCTTAAATTATATTAAATTATAATTTTTATATAGGTGGCAACCTTCCTCCAAAAAATGTGAACTAAAATTATATCTTTCGATATGTTCCGTTAGTTTTTATCTAATAAATGTTTTATTTAATTTTTAAAATAGGTGRCCATGTTTGAAATTTTGATCACGTGACTACCTGTTTACCTGACYATCTACTATGTACATACATATATTCTAAACAACAGCGCTTAACTAAATTCATTGAAGTCAAAATTGTGCAACACTTACCCGTATACCTGCACCGCCCGCATTRCCACACTTCTCTGAACACTCCGACCAGTCGCCGATGCGCCATTCGTACGTGACATGGTTACTCKTGGMCACTGTGGCTGTTTCTGGCTCGCCCTGCTTCTGCCACCTGGCGTGYGGTGAATGTGGTGAGTCGTCCKCGTGTGTTGCGCCAACRGCATTGCTCACTGTTGGCAGCGTGGTTGTTGTACTAGTGATGACGGTTATATGGTCTGTTGYTTCCTGTTCGTGCCAAACATTGTCGTCAGWGTTAACGTTGCTGCTACTGCTGCTGCTGCCGTCATTCCTGTCCTCTGGCATTGTAAGCGATGATGAGGCAAATGCATCGGACGCTGCAAGGGTCCGCAGATCGCCAGTGTCGATTTGTGGTCGCATAGGCTCGTCCTGTTCGAAATTTTCCAAATCGATGCCGAATTGTAGACCCTTGTCGAACAGCATGTGATGTCCTCTCGAATCGCCAAATTTCTGAAAAGGCCACAAATGCTGCGGTAGCGAAAGTGGGAGAGAAAAAGGAAAYGAAATAGCAAATCGGATTAGCAAAGTAAGCGGCTTAAAATGTGTCCGATTCTTTTCTTTCTKATTTCTGGTTATTTGGTGGTAAGGCAAGCAGCCTGCGGCCAAAATATCAGCAAATCACCAGAAGCTGAACTGCATACAGATGCAGCTGTCATGCTTTAAAGCGAACGTGCGGCATTCAACAGTAATWTGTGTAAATTTATGAAACTGTATGTGTGTGTATATTTTGTGTGGTTATATGATAACAGCATGCATTTGTTTACAAGCAATTTTCATTATGAAAATAAAGAAATGTGTGTGAGCGCWTGCAAGAGATAAAAAATTAAAAGTGGTTACCCGCATTGTAGGCGATTGGTTGAAAAATCAGCTACATTGGCCCACTTTCTCCTTTTCTTTTCGTGAGCATATTCTGCTACTTACGTGAGTATAGTCGCCATTATCTGGCTTCTTCGAGGAATCATATTTTAACTTATTAACTCGCTATGTGTGTGTCTGGGCATATATTATATTTTGTTGCTATCCGTGATCACTCTACTATTATGCAACTAAAATTTTCGTGACATTTCCCAACGTCATCTTTTTAGAGCTCATTTTGTGAGCCTGACCGTTTTCTTTACGCTAATACGCTAATTTTCGAAACTTATCGTCTGAAAAATTACCTGGGAAAGTCATAAGGCCACTTTTGGGGCATTGTCCGATAATTTTTGCCATCAAGTATGACCAGCTTCTCAAGACAGAGAGATACTTACTCACTTGCACAAACAAACAAAGAATGGAAGGGAACCAGATGAAATAGTATTTAGGGTATGATTATAAGATCATGCTGGAGACTTTAAAGCGCACTACGACCTTTCTCATCCCTGTCTGTCAAACGATCATAAGGGGATGGAATTGACGGAATAGAGGGACGATTCGATATTCTGCACAATGAATGACGAAGCCTCCACCAGAATTATGGGCATTTGCAAAAGCTCGTCCGATGTTCCCATCGCTAGTGGTGGTCTGAAAAACTACATAACCTGGCGACCTCGCAGAGACTTGATGATTTGAGAACATAAGTATCTCGATCGAGAAACCTTCAGATTTCGTTAACTTTAATCAAGTTAAATAAATCGGCTTCAAAGAATTTACCGAGAGCACTTTCACCGCACTACCCATTCCTACGAACGCAATCTTTGGCGAACGTGAGTTCCATAATGTGATCGAAAGTGGTACCGCTCGATTCATCCCGGCTGTAGGAATCGCGGAACTCTAATTTCCCTGTCGAAGCAGCTGTTTTAGCTAATGAACGTGACACAATACGCTATGCCGATCCCTGTGATTCCCGAATAAGGGTTCTCAATTTGGAGATTCGACAAATAATAAATCACCATAAATGGACAAAATATATAGAGTACCAATCTTGCAACATATCTACCGGCGTGAGTAAGCTTTGCACTACTGTCAAAGATTTGTATAATCCGAAAATACATGATGCCCGAGTTGAAATCTAATTCAACGGTCATGCCTATTAGGACCCGAAGAAGTGCGTGAGTTATTTTAGTTGGCAATTTACTCGGTAAGAAAAAGCCAAAGAATGTGTTACGCGAAGGTTGCGCAAAATGCCAAAAGACTACTCACCACTTACTTTCAACGATGGAAGACATTTTGAGTCAATTAAAGACCTTAGCCGTGAATAGCTATGCACACTAAAGGCTATTCCGGAAAATGGCTTTGACAACTGATTCAAGGCTTCGAGGTCGCACACGGGTATTGTGGCCAAGGGGGATTACTTTGAGGGGGACGACAAAGATTTTCAAGAATAAAGTTAGATTTTTAAAATTAAAATTTGAAGAATAAATTTAGAWATTTAAATTATCACTCACTATTTTTTGCACATGGTAGTAACTCTAAATATATCTACATTGATACTTTTAATTTCTATTTTATATGTACGTCGAGATATTTACAACAACACTACTAGTACAAAACTTGCTGATTTCCCGCGAGTGTTAGTCATAACGACAAGTACAGCGAATGACGGAAATTGTTGAATTTCAAAACAGACCACTGATGCCAGGAAACCCATGTAAATTGCCTCAACTGTATGCTCTTTCTATTGCTTTGCAGCAGTTGTATTGTGAAGCAATTTGGCATTCGCTGAGTTCTCGCGGGATATGAGGGAATTGATATTGCTGCACGTATACAAACAGTCGCTTTTTCAATTTTTGACAACTAGTGTATGCGCTTACAACTGATTCCGCAAGCCTCAATCGAAGCACCATCACCACTGCCACCACTGAGTGAATGTCTCAATGAGGGTGCGTTCTGTTAAACATTGTTGTATTGGCTCATATCGTTTTCCGCACTCATATGCAACATATGTATTTCAGTTATGGTAGAAAGTGTGGAATGAGTGTATCATTATTGATGCTGTTGCAAGCCAAAAGCGGCTGCTGAAAGAAAACTCATAAAATGACGCCTAACCAAAAATTGCAGTCCATTTTATTTCGATGGTTTTAATATTATCGATTTCTTTAATATAAAAAGTTATAT